ATTTTCTATAAACAATTGGCTCACAGATGGGGGTGAGATCGTCAGCCTTATGCACCGGCCGCCCTTCCCCCCCCCCGGAAAGATTCCTGGTGCGCATTTCTGGCAGAGGCTAAGTGCCATAGTGCTGCTGGAAGGATTGGGTCAATTGAAAACCCCAATGGCCTCATTGGGAAAAGAACCCGCGACCTTCCGGCTCGTAGCATAGTGCCTCAACCAACTACGCTGCCTCATCACAAAAACTAAAAGTGGTGATCACAGCGAAATAAGTACAGTGTGATTAAGTAAAATATTGAAAAGTACTAGCTTCTGGGATGTGACGCAGTGTAGCCCAGTAGAACTTCAATGACGTTTCGGAGCAGTTTACTGCAGTTATCTTCAGGCCCAGAGAGGAAGTCAAGCAAGGGACCAGCATCTGCTACTTACTTCGTGCCTCTTGGTTAGTTTACACTTCGACCCTGAAGCTGGCGACAATACACTGCTCCGAAATGTCTGTGAACTTCTACCTGATTACACAGCATCACAACCGAGAAGACGATGTAAGATTTCTCGTTCTCACACAGATTGTTATGAAGACGTCTAACTTCTGGGATATAACGCCGTGCAGTCCGTTGAAACAAAATCGACGTTTCGGAGAAACATTTCAGCTCCATCTTCAGCGTCGAAGAATAAGCCAATCAAGAAACCAGGGTGAAGCAGTAGCAAGAAGAGGCTTATAATTTTGCATATAACAATTCATTCTTAGTATTGCAAGACAAAGAGATGGAACTTTGTTCTTGGTATTACAGTCTCCGTATGCAATATGCATGAACTTCATGCACGCTGTTCTCTCTAACTCGAGACTTGCTGGACGCATGTTTCAACAATCGAAACACAAGTCTGCCTGCCTTTCCCACGGTATCCGATTTCGCCACGACGGGTGTTTCCAGCTGACGGGTTTCATTGTCGGGAGTGCCTCAAATTCAAGAACAATCAACTCATTGGCCTTTAACCATTTAAAACCCAATGGTTACTTCATGTCGTCGGCTTCCCACCTCGGTGACCCGGGTTGGAACCCAGGTCAGATCATGTGGGATTTGTGGTGGACAAAGTGGCACTGGCGCAGTTTTTCTCCGAGTACTTCGGTTCTCTTTACCAATTCTTATACTATCAAAAGCTCCCTGGTACAATAGGCCACTAAAGAAAAACTAATCCAGTCATCCCGAATCTTAGAGCAGCTGAAACCACGCCAGCGTCTGACGTTCAACGCGCAAGTCCAAGTGCACAACTCAAGAATTGGTAAGAGCTCGTTTTGATTGTATATGCACTGGCGGCCGTGCAGCGTAAGGCTAACAACCTCAACGCCATCTGTGAGGCGATTGTCTAGAAAATGTGGGAGCCTCGACGTCTCACAACCCTATGGGCCTCCACGGCTTGTTACAGAGATAGCTATATTTAACATCACCGCCATCTGTGTGCCGATTGTCTAGAGAAAATGTAGGAGCCTCGAAGTCTCACAACCCCATGGGCCTCCACGGCCTGTTGCAGGGATAGGGATAGCTTTACTTAGCTCACCGCCATGTGTGAGCCGATTGTATAGAAAATGTGGGAGCCTCCACATCTCACAACCCTATGGGCCTCCACGGCCTGTTACAGGGATAGCTTAATTCACCTCACCGCCATGTGTGAGCCGATTGTATAGAAAATGTGGGAGCCACGACGTCTCACAACCCTATCGGCCTTCACGGTCTGTTACAGGGATAGCTTTACTTAGCCTCACCGCCATCTGTGAGCCGACTATCTAGAGAAAATGTAGGAGCCTCGAAGTCTCACAACTCTACGGGCCTCCACGGCCTGTTACAGGAATAGCTTTACGTAACCTCGCCGCCATCTGTGAGCCGACTGTCTAGAGAAAATGTGGGAGCCTTGACGTCTCACAACCCTATGGTCCTCCACGGCCTGTTACAGGGATAGCTTTACTTAGCCTCACCGCCATCTGTGAGCCGACTATCTAGAGAAAATGTAGGAGCCTTGACGTCTCACAACCCTATGGGCCTCCACGGCCTGTTGCAGGGATAGCTTTACCTTTTTACTTTTTACGGACTAAAGCGGACATCATTGTGAACAAAGATTCCAAATTTACAAGGACCACTGACAGAATATTTCGTCCTAAAAATTTCATTTTAAACAAAGAAACAGATATGAAAACACTGAAGCCAAATTTCGGCAACCACAGCCATATCGCAAGTACAAATACAGCAGAAGCTGAGCAAATGGTCTCTGTCACTAAGTACAATAACCTGCCAGAGCCATGGGCTGTGGGAGAGGGGGTAAGGTAGGCGTCTACCCCTCGCCCTAATTTCAGAAGAAAAAATAAAAATAAAATACCGTATGCACGCATGTATAGGCCGCACATTTTTTGCCAAAAATTCAAGAGGAAAACTGGGGTGCGGCTTATATTCGAAATATTCGAAATCACACTTCATTNCCCCCCCCCAATAACTGGCTGAACATTGTGGGCTCCCATGTACCCCTCCCCTTCTCCGGTCCTCTATGTGTTTGTTCATACCGCCGTGTAGCCAATAGGAAAAGTAAGGATGTTTCGGAGGAGCCGACTGCCTCTGTCTTCAGGATAAAAGAGAGAGCGGTGAGGGAGAACGAGGGTACACAAGTATGGGGTCGGGGGAAGAAAAGCGAGAAGCGACAGGAAGTGTCACCTTGAACACGGATCAGCAAAGACAGGCCCCTGTGATCCCTTGGACAAATGATACAAGGCGTTCACCACACGTCAGCCTGACGTTTCGGAGTAACACATCACCTAGGTCTTCAGGGTTAAAAAGGCAGCTAAGTAATAAACAAAAACTGAACCCAGTTTGCAGCCTGCTTGTACTTGGCTTATTCTTCGACCCTGAAGATGGAGACTAACTGTTCCTCCGAATCGTCGGGCCCTCTCCAAACTACAAGGACGTTGCAGGCCAATGTTTCTATTGTGTGACGATCAGCCGGGAATCTGGGGCAAAGGACAAGTGGGTCCATTGTGAGTGGCAACCTTGTTTTACAGACAACGGACTCACAGAGTTGGGTCTCTTAGTCAGGGGAAGGTAAGCAGCACCTGCGCTGGGCCTCAGGTTGTGCCACGGGCCGTCTGCCGCGTTGTGGCGCAGCTTAGCTCAAGTTAACCGACGTTTCGGGGGAACGTAATGCCTCCATCAGCGCTCTATTTGGTACTTGCTCGGTTCACTCATCGACATTCAAGATGGAAAGGCAGTACATTCCTCCGTACACATCGGTAAACTTCTACCAGACTACATGGCGTCACATCCCACAACACAGAACGCCCCGTCCTTAGTGTTCTCTTTATAGGAGAGAGCACGTTTCACTCTCGAACAAGATGAAAAGATATTTTTGCTATACCTACAAGCAGGAAGGTCGCAGGTTCGATTCCCGTTGAGGTCATTGGATTTTTAAATTGACCTAATCCTTCCATTCCCACTATGGCCCTGGGGTCGACTCAGCCTCTAACAGAAATGAGTACCAAGAATCTTCCTAGGGGTAAAGGGCGCCCGACACTTATGGCTGACAACCTCACCGCCATCTGTGAGCTGACTGTCTAGGAAATATAGGAGCCTCGACGTCTGACAGCCCTATGGGCTCTGAGAAGCTGGTAGCTGTGGCCGGTGACAGTTCGAGAACCCAGAGGAAAGGGGAAGGTCCGCCGTTGGAAACCGCTACCAAGCAACGGCTAGTGAAGATTGAGCAGACTTTATGTGAGCTGCAGTTTCTTTGGAGTGTGGAACTCAGTGAGACTGTCGTAGTTATTTGTAGTTACGATCTGTAAGTGTTCAATAATTTCGATTACCAATACAAACCCCATCTATAATCAGTCACGTGACAATATTGTCCATGGTGTCACTAATTTTAACCGGTTTTTGTGGCCGCGCCATAGCTCAAGTGGTTAGTTGCGGCCCGGGTTCGAGCCCGGGTATGGTCAAGTGGGATTTGTGGTGGACAAAGTAGCGTTGGGGAAGGTTTTCTCCGAGTACTTCGGTTTCCCCTGCCAATCTTCATTCCACCAATTGCTCCACAATCACCCTCACCTATCATCTGGGGCTGGTACAATAGGCCAGAAGTGGCCGCAGTACAAGGGACTTAGTCCCACCCCACTAGCAATACAAAAAACTGTTTTTGTGCGTAATAAACATACATAGTATTTCCTCTCTGAGTAAGAGATAATCCCAATGGTTTCTCACAAACGGCGAAAGACACGGGTTCGAAATCTTTCACGCGACAGAGGCTTATAACCGTGGGAAGTGCACGCAGATGAAGGCGGCTTCTTCAGGAGGAGACAACATGAGGACACATGAGGAGGAACTTGGCAGTGCTGACTGAGAGCCTTTCCTGGCTTTACTCAGTCCCTCTACTATAACCGAAACCTTTCCCAATTCATTTTTACATCAACACCCCCGCCATTCGATGCTGCCAACAGAGTCATAAATAACCGTGAAATATGAAATTGATTTCATTGAAGAAACACGAGCCCTATACTGTCACGTAGCTTTATGTTTTAGTTTTCCTGGTTATGACACCGCGTAGTCTGGTAGGTTGGTACCAAAGTTTATGGACATAAACTGACTTCATTTCCACTCTGAAGATGAAGGCAATATGTTATTCCGAAACGTTAGTACCCATCTACCAAACTATAAAGTGAGAAACAGAGGTAGAAAAGAATAGTTGAAGAATAGGTGAAAAGGCAAAGTCGTGGAGAAGTGAGGGGAAATTTATTTTTATGGGTGAGAAAGAGCGTTATTCTGTTGAGGGGTAAGTCTGAGAAATTTTTATTTTTTTGAATGTGCACTGCAAAAATTTGGAACGCTGATTTGGTATTTTGACGAATTTAAACTGGGAAGGCTCTAGGAGAAGCAGGGAGTAGCAACGTGCTTTTCATGTATAACACAGATGAGCACGTTATGTATCTCCAACTCCAAAAAAACCTCTCATCTCACTTGCAATTTCTGCTCCTCTAGCTCCTGGCCCAGTTGGAATACGCCGACTACCAGAGGGCAGTGTGGGGGGTCCTGAACAAGGTGTCACGAGACCAACAGCAGGACGGCCCCATCTGGAGGCAGGTCCAGTTCTTGTCTGTGATAGGGCCCGCAGCCCTGCCACCTGAGCTTCTGGACAGGGTAAGTTCTTTCTTCATGGCGTTTCTGGAAGTCGTCCACCTTTCCAATAACATTTCGAATAATGTTTCTGGTTCTGGTTCTACCGCAACAGCTTGGTTCCCATGCGTAGCCGGTATAGCGACTGGCTACGGGTTGGACGACTGAGGGGTCGAAATTCGAGACCCGGTAGGATCAAGAATTTTCATTTCTTGGTCCCGTCCAGACCTACTCTGGGTCCCACCTAACCTCATATCCAATGGGTACCGGGAGCTCTTTCCCCGGGGGTAAAGCGGCAGGGGCGTGAAGCTGACCATTCACCTCCAGCTAGTGCCGAGGTCAAGAAAATGTGGATTTATTATATATCCACTCCCCCATACGCCTTCATGACGTAGTGCTTAATTAGTTAAGTAAAGGGACAACTTTACCTCTTGGTTTCCATTCAAGCGACAAGCACTGCCCTTCTCAACTGAGTTACATTCGAGTGTTTTCCTGTTGCAGTACAACAAACTGATCAGCGACATGCTGTCCGTGTACAATGGCGCCACCACGTGTGCGTACAACGAACCTTTCAAGTGCGGTCTGCGCATCGAACCCGGTAAGAGCTCCATGGCCACAGCACTGATGGCTCGGGGTGTGATTGGGCTTAGGTTGGCAATACGAACTGTCAGAATGTCAAACTTTACGACTGTTAGGTGATAAGTCGTATCGGCCGCTTTTTTATTCCGTAATCGCTTCAGCTTTATACAGCTCAATAAACGGAACATAATGTATTTATATACGGGCCTATAAAAATGAAGTTGAACTCCACACAATTCCAAATGCAGTTCTCTGCAGCTTAGTGGCCCTTTCATCTGTCCATCCCAGCAACCTTACCTCTAACCGGGGACACAAGTTGCAAGCCATGTGTGATCTCGGCGGCAATTGGGGTGGTTGGTTAGGGCGACCAGTTGTAGGGGGGGGGGAGACAAGCAATTTTCGAAAAACGTACATAACAGACATTAAATTTTAATACTTACTTACTGATGGAGGCCGCGCCATAGCTCAAGCGGGTTAGCCGCTGGCTTCCCACCGCGGCGGCCCGGGTTCGATCCCGTGTCTGGTCAAGTGGGATTTGTGGTGGACAAAATGGAGCTGGGGTAGGTTTTCTCCGAGTACTTCGGTTTCCCCTGCCAATCTTCTTTCCACCAATTGCTCCACAATCACCCTCACCTATCATCTGGGGCTGGTACAAAAGGCCAGAAGTGGCCGCAGTACAAGGGACTTGGTCCCACCCCACTAACAATAAAAGAAATACTTAATTATGGAGCTGAGCCCTTCTTAAGGAGAAGTCAAATCTGCAACTACTCAAGAATTTCCCAGCATTTTATGGAACCCAAAGTTCATTACCGTGTTCACAAGAAACCTCCACTGTTCCATATCCTGAGCCAGATCACTCCAATCCATACCATCCCATCCTATCTCTCTAAGATTAATTTTAATATTGTCCACCCACCTATGCCTTGGTCTTCCCAATATCCTATATGCATTCCTCATCTCCCCAATTCGTGCTACATGCCCTGCCCACCTCATCCTCTTGACTTGATCATTAAATTTTAATATCTTCCAAAAGATATAAAAAATCTTTACTTCTTTCGATTTTTTTTATTAATTCAAACTGACTATACAGAGTGTCCCAGGAGGAAATATCAGTATTCTGGGAGGCCACAGTAGTGGTCATCCTAAGCAAAAAGTTATGTACCTTTGTCCTATTCAGGACGGTTTCCCAGATACAGCTATTTGACTGTACAGGTGGTACTGATCACGGATCACACTCATGTTGACAGCAGTTTGTGTGGTACTGATCACGGATCATACTCATTCATTTTGACTGTTTGCAAGGTAGAGCTGAGTGTGGTCATGGGCCGGAGCAGAGACTGGGACGAACTGCAGTACTCCTGGATAGAATGGCGCCGTCTAACCGGCCAGAAGATGCGCGACCTCTTCGAGCAAGTGGTTGAACTCAGCAACCAAGCGGCGCAACTCAACCGTGAGTCCATCTGTCTTTGTAACGTTACTACACTTGAGCTTCGACAGTTGTCAAGAGATGGCAGGAACGTCAATCTTTCGAGTAGCACTCTCGCGTTCTTTATTGGAAGTCGCTGATTTTTAGGCTGCGCTGAAATCACGACTACATTCAGTATCAGAATGTGGACGCATAATGAATTGCAAAGAATGTGGAAGTGGTCGTGGCCTAGTTCAAGGTACTATCCCAGAATATGCATGAAGAGACTGAGGAAATGACACAAATGCACAATTAAACAGAACAGGTTGCTCTGAATAAAGAGAGAATATATATTACAAAATGGCGTACAGTTTAAGTAATTTGACGCTTCCCGTCATATCTGCAACTACTTTGCAGCGCCGACGTCGCGTCTCAGTGGCTTGCTCCCGGCACCCCTACACGTAGCCCCCCCCCCCCGCTCGCAAAGCCACTCAGGCCATCGTCAAAAAGTCCCATAAGATCAAATTCCGAAATGATAGCTCCTGTGGGAACCTCAAATCTCAAATATTTTAGTCAAGTGCGCAGCCCCATGTGACGTAGAAAGTTCAAAACCAGTTTCCCATGCAGCTTCAATTTTCCTGCAGTAACGGAATCTTCGTGGGAGTAAAGGCCGGGTGTGAAACTTGGTCTCTGACATTAAGGGAGGAACACAGACTGAGGGTGTTTGAGAACAGGGTGCTGAGGAGAATATTTGGACCGATGAAGTGAAGGGAGCTTGGAGAAAACTGCATAATGAGGAGCTTCATAACTTGTACTCTTCTCCAAGTATAATTGTAATGATCAAGGAGGATGAGGTGGGCAGGGAATGTAGCAGGAAATGGGGAAGAAGAGGAACGCATATAAGATATTGATGGAAAAGCCAGATGGAAAGAGAAAATACCAAGGCGGAAGTGGGTGGATAATATTAAAATAGATCACAGAGAGACAGAATCGGATGGTATGGATTGGATAGAACTGGTTTAGGATAGAGACTAGTGGAGGGCTCTCGTGAACATTGTACTGAACTTTTGGATTCCGTAAAATGCTGGGAAGTTCTTGAGTAGCTGCACAATTGGCGGCTTCTCAAGAAGGGCTCAGCTCCATGAGTGACTGCGTGAAAGGGCGACCGGTGGACGCGTAGGGCTGACAACCTCATGGCCATCTTTGAGCCGACTGTCTAGAAAATGTGGGAGCCTCGAAGTCTCACAACCCCTATGGGCCTCCACGGCCTCTTACAGGGATAGCGTTACTTAACCTCACCGCCATCTGTGAGCCGATTGTCTAGAAAATATGCGAGCCTCGAAGTCTCACAACCCTATGGGCCTCCACGGCCTCTTACAGGGATAGCGTTACTTAAACTCACCGCCATCTGTGAGCTGATTGTATAGAAAATACGGGAGCCTCGACGTCCCACAACCCTACAGGCCTCCACGCCCTATTGCAGGGATAGCTTTACTTAACCTCACCTCATCTTTGAGCCGATTGTCTAGAAAATGTGGGAGCCTCGAAGTCTTACAACCATATTGGCCTCATGGCCTGTTACAGGGATAGCTTTATATTAGTCTGTGTATGTCAGAGTTGTGTCGCGTGAGCATTTCCAACGTTTCGTACTTATTCTGGGTAACGAGATTTACGTAAGCCGATGCAGAAAATATATGCCTTTTAAAGCATGAGGATTAAAGGGTGCTGCGTGAAGGAATGACCCCATATGTTATTAATATGTTTCTTACGTCAGTTAGTAACATCAAGTGCATAACAGCAGACACTGCACGTGTAGGCCCCATATGGGCCCGATTACGGATTGCTTTGCCAGAAGGCAATTCCAGAGGGAGACCGAAGAGACGGCCCTGAATAAAGACAAATGATTATTTCTTGTTTCTGCTGCAGACTTCAAGAACGCCGCCGAGTACTGGCTGTTCCCGTATGAGTCGCCGACGTTTCGGTACGAACTGGAAGGCGTCTGGGATGAAGTCCGTCCGCTGTATGAGCAGCTGCATGCTTACGTCAGGCGGAAGCTTCGAGACTTGTACGGCCCTGACAAACTGAGCCGGAAGGCTCCGTTACCTGCCCATATTCTGGGTAATATCGCAGTCTGCCTAGCTGCTTTACTCCTCCCTATCGCGTCAGTTCCCACATCACAGAAAATACAATCATCCACTTAATTTTTGTGGCGTCACGTGGTGTGGCTATAGGCGGGGGTTCGGATTGGTAATCGGATTTATTGAGCACTTACGGAACATAACTACAAGTAACTATGCCAGTCTGACTGAGTTACATACTACTCTTGTCTTCACTAGCCGTTGTTTAGTTAAGGCCTCTAACGGCAGACTGGATTCCCGAATTCTCCCCGGCCTCAGGTACCGAATCTGAATGAGACTGAGTCTTATGTTACGACCGGCGGTCAGTCGGCCAGTCTGCCTTGGAACAAAGCACCCATCTGGGGTCCAAGACCATATTTTTATTACTTGCGGGTTTGTTGATGAGGGGGGCTCTCTCTGACGATAGGACGGGTCTGTCGTTTACAATTGTTGCTGGCCATCACCAGAGTAGTCATTCTCGGGCCCGATTCCCGTGGGACTCACAATATTTTACTGTCTCAGATTCGAGATTTCCCTTTTCGTCGCCTCCTGCAACTCACAGGGCTACGGTGGAGGTATTCGACCCCGCCAACACATGGGAGAGGCCCGAACCCTCAAAATCTGAACCGTCAGTAGCCTCAGCTACCAAAGCCAAAGTCACATTGCGACTGACGGTCAGTCAATCAGTCAGTCTTGGTGTCGAGCCCAATCTGGGGCCCATGACCGGATATTTATTACTGTTTGACAGTTTCGGCCTTGTTTTTGTGGGGCGCCCTCTCTTACGAGAGGACGGGTCTGCTTTTGGTCACAGTCATAGTCTGTAGTAGTAAGTCATTTTTCATTATGTAAAGGGTATTTACGTTTTACGTGTTAAACATGTTAATAAATGTATATAAAATATATACAGGCCTCTGTCAGTCCAGGCTCAGTATAGCAGAAGACGCCGTATTTCTAGTAGCTTCCGTTACAACGGCAAGCTAGTCACTTGAACGGTCGTATGCTTGACCGCCCCCAAGTTTAAGCCTCTAACACTTTCTATGTCGGGCTTCTCCTAGCCAAATATTGCGAACATTTTCGTTATCATGATTCTGTATGACTTCCGCTTGTTTCTTGCATAANTTTTTTTGTGGGGGGGGGGGGGAGAGGAAGAAGACGTGCTGAGAAACCGACGTTTATACCGTTTCAGAATACTTCTAATTAATGCCCTACAGTATTCAGGTTAAATGGATTGTTTTCCACAGAGCCTACGTTCAATTTTTTGGCATAAGTATACGGTAGATATCTTCTTATTCTGATTCTGATTTGTTTAGACCAACGGAAGGGGCAGACCGCTCCCCTCCCCCCCAAAAAAACTTCCCGCCTGTGACCATTAGTGTGTCCAACGTGACCAAGTACGGAACCAATAAACAGTATCTCCCAACACATCGTAATCACGGGTTAGCTCAGTCACTGGACCAGACTATGGGGTTCGATTCCCGACAAATCAGAAATTTTATTCTCCGTCCAGATCAGCCCTGGGTAGCAGACAACCTCCTACCTAAGGAATACTGGGTTTGTTTCCCCAGCAGTAACGCTGTGTGAAAGACGGCGTTAATCGTCAATCGGCCTGGACGCATCATCCGTCGACTCAGTGTATATTTGCAGATTGCTTGGGCGATGTTTGCCTGCACCGGTTCAGAAAACATGTGTTATGTTACAGGCGACATGTGGGGCCAGTCCTGGAGCAATATACTGGACGTGACTATACCGTACCCTGGCAAGAACTTCCTTGACGTCACCACCGAGATGGTGGAGCAGGTCAGTTACACGAGATCACCACCTGGATATGTCATGTTGGCAGCTGCCAGTGGTCTGTGCTAAACTGCCTGGATATGTCACATTGACAGCTGCCAGTGGTCTGTGTTAAACTGCCTGGATATGTCATGTTGGCAGCTGCCAGTGGTCTGTGCTAAACTGCCGGGGCATGTCACATTGACAGCTGCCACAAGTCTGGGCTAAACTGCCTGGATATGTCACATTGACAGCTGCCAGTGGTCTGTGCTAAACTGCCGGGGCATGTCACATTGACAGCTGCCACAAGTCTTGGCTAAACTGCCTGGATATGTCACATTGACAGCTGTCAGTGATCTGTGTTAAACTGCCTGGATATGTCATATTGACAGCTGCCACAAGTCTGTACTAAATTGCCGGGATGTCACATTGACAGCTGCCAGTGGTCTGTGTTAAACTGCCTGGATATGTCACACTGACAGCTGCCACAAGTCTGTGCTAAACTGCCTGGATATGTCACACTGACAGCTGCCACAAGTCTGTGATAAACTGCCGGGATATGTCACACTGACAGCTGCCACAAGTCTGTGCTAAACTGCCTGGATATGTCACACTGACAGCTGCCAAAAATCTGTGCTAAACTGCCGGGATATGTCACATTGACAGCTGTCACAAGTCTGCGCTAAACACGTTGCATTGTTTGTAGGGTTACACTCCGCTGGCGATGTTCCGTCTCGCTGAGGAGTTCTACCTGTCTCTCAACATGAGCCTCTTACCGCCTGAGTTCTGGAGCGGCTCCGTAATTGAGGAACTGCCGGACAGGGTAGTGATCTGCCAGCCTTCCGCCTGGGACTTCTGCAACCGACGCGACTACAGGTACTCGTGGATTATGTCCCTGTCTCAAGGTAGGATCGGGTAAATTGCTGCTGATCCTCGCCAGCACAACCATTCTTGGTTCCTTCAGGGCTTTCCATGAACAATAATTATATGTCTGAAAGTGGGGGGGGGGTTGTGGAAGCCTCTATTTTGTTCAGTTGAATTCCTGCTCGGTATATCGGACACATTTCTACGTTCGATGTGTGATCTAGTTAAAATTGTCCCTCTGCTAAATGTGCATTAACGGCTAATGTTTTTGTAGGGACGTTGACTATTTGGAACCAGAACTATTTTTCTTAATCACTAAAATGTTAATTGTGTTTGAGATTCATATATATTTATTGTCACCGCATCATACTTGCCTAAATTATTATTATTATATGTAACTCCCAGACCTGCAGACCGAGGTTCGAGTATCCCGAGGCATGACATTATTTATTTCTGTTATCGTTGACTTTACAGGATCAAGATGTGCACGCAGGTCACCATGAAGGACTTTGTCACGGTGCACCATGAGATGGCCCACTTGCAGTACTTCCTGGAGTACAGGCAGCAGCCCAAAGTGTTCCGGGACGGCGCCAATCCCGGTATGGCACTACCAGCTGACTAAATAACCAACCACCTAACTCCATGAAGTTGCGCCCTCCATTCGCCGAACTACTCAAGAATCCTGCCCCATTTATTAAACGAGAAAGTTCATTACCGCGTTCAAAAGAGCCTCCCACTGGTCCCTATCTTGAGCCAGATGAATCCAATCCGTTAACTCACCCCCCATTTCTCTAACAAACATTTGTCTAGACTCTCCAAAAGGTAGAGGAACTTGGGTGGCTATCAGCACAACAATCAGGTACGAATATTGTGCTTCTGGACGTTATCCATCGTCAGGTTTTTTAATTTAAAAACACAACGTTTCGGAGACCGGATTCTATCTCCGTCTTCAGGTAGAAACTACTTGTTGGGCTCAGGGCCGCGCCATAGCTCAAGCGGTTAGTCGCTGGCTTCCCACCGCGGCGGCCCGGGTTCGATCCCGGGTCTGGTCAAGGGGGATTTGTGGTGGACAAAGTGGCGCTGGGGCAGGTTTTCTCCGAGTACTTCGGTTTTCCCTGCCAATCTTCATTCCACCAACTGTTCCACAATCACCCTCACCTATCATCTGGGGCTGGTACAATAGGCCAGAAGTGGCCATAGTACAAGGGACTTAGTTCCACCCCACTAGCAACAAAAAAATAGTTGGGCCCAATTCATAGGGCTAGTCCCTATCTCCAGACACCTGTACCAGCACCAAGATGGGGTATACAAGCCAAAAACACTACAAACCATCTGCGAGAATTAAGAAAACCATTACAATATTAAAGACTCATAGTTTATGAGGCCTTGCACCTGAGAGATAAAAACAGGACGATAGATATAAGGTCCAGAAACAAAATATTTGTTTTAATGTACCATCGTTCACAAATTTTTAGATATTAGTTATAACACTCAGAATTATTAAAAATTACGTAGTGTTAATTTCGTTTTGTTGCACATGCCGCTATGCTTCTTGATATGTATGATCAAGTTCAGGCGGTTATGTAAATGGAGATCGAAACATATAATGTTATGTGTAATAAAAGAAAATATTAACACGCTGTGCTGACGGCCATTCAAATACCTCTACTAATTCACAACGGACTGCACATAATAAATATGCTTCCAAAAGGTCTGTACCCTTTAAGTTTTCTGACCAATATGTTGTACGAATTTCTCATTTCCCACATGCATGCTGCATTCACCCTTCATCCTCCTCGACTCCATCACAGTACGAAAAATGAAATCTCTCCTTGTGTTTCCAAACACTTAAAACAATAATTTTGTTTTAAAAACTCCAGAGTAATCTTAGACAACAGGTAATGGTCAAGGTCAATGTGACGCTATCCCTGCAACAGGCCATGGAGACCCATAGGGTTGTGAGACATCGAGGCTCCCAATTTTTCTAGATATTCGGCTCACAGATGGCGGTGAGGTTAAGTAAAGCTATGCCTGTAGCAGGCCGTGGAGGCCAATAGGGTTGTGAGACGTCGAGGCTCCCACATTTTGTAGACAATCGGCACACAGATGGCGGTGAGGTTAAGTAAAGCTATGCCTGTAGCAGGCCGTGGAGGCCCATAGGGTTGTGAGACGTCGAGGCTCCCACATATTTTAGACAATCAGCTCCACCCAACCTCATATCCAATGGGTACCAGGGTAAATCCAAGGGTAAATCGGCCTGGGCGTGAACCTCACGACTCACTTCCAACTAGTGCAGAGGTCAGGAAAATGTGGATCTATAAACCCTCTCATGGCGTAGTGCTTAATTAGTTAAGCACAGGGACAACTTTACCTTTACCACAATTAATGTGATGTATAATTACCACGTTAATGTGTAAGCAGTGTTATTTCATTTTGTGTCATTCAAGGTCAAGCAAACAATAACTACGAGAGAAGTGACCCCCGATTCCTTGGCCGTCCAGCCAGGCTCCACAATACCCGGTATTAATGTTGTGTTCCAGGCTTCCACGAAGCAGTGGGCGAAGCCGTGGCGCTCTCCATAGCAACGCCTCGACACCTGCAGGACCTTGGCCTGGTACAGGGCTCAGTCGATGACGTTCCCCACAACATAAACTCGCTCTTCTCCCTCGCCCTGGACAAGCTGCCCTTCCTACCCTTCAGTTTAGTCATGGACGAGTGGCGATGGGACATATTCGAGGGAACCATTACTTCGGACGAGTACAACTGTCATTGGTGGAGGCTCAGGTGAGACACAGCGACTCTGAGTCCGTCTTAACCCCCCACATACACATAATTCAGTACAGTCGCGGCCGATCGTGATTCATACAGTGAAGTTCTGGATTATGATAACGTGTAGTCTGGTAGCAATATACTGTCTCTATCATCAATCAATTTTAAATAGCTGTATGTAGGATCTGAGGTTCTGACACCGGTGGTTAAGAAGAGTCCTGTCTTCTGTGGCATAACGACCTTTAGTCTGTTGAAAGCCAACCGACGTTTCGGAGGCACATTTCGCCTCCATCTTCAGTGTCCAAACATAAGAGTGAGTTTGCGACCTACTTCATGCTGAAGATCTAGGCGACACGTTCCTCCGAAACGTCGGTTGACTTTCAACGAACTGCACGGCGTTATATCAAGGAAGAGAGGCAGGATGGAGGGAGTAATGACAGGAGATTTGCAGCCAATCATAGCCAGGAACGGAACCAGGAGACGAGGCCCCGAGTGGGGTAGCTACTTCAATACAAATTGAATTAAACGATAGGCAAAATGCCCTTCTAAGGGTCATGAACAAAGGAAGGAGAAGTCACTTCTCGCGTCTCCTTTGGGTACAAACGAGTCGTTCCGAATCGTGCTCTAGGAGAAACCAACATCTCTGCTCATGATAGGGAAGCAGCTCTTCGAAGCCCGCGATAGTTCAATCGGTACGGCGACTGGCTACGGGCTGTACGGCTGAAGGAACAATATTCGATTCCCGGTAGAGGCTATACGTTTTTCTCTATTCCCCCGCATCCAGACCGGCCCCGAATTCCAACAGCCAGCGAGGAATCATTCCCTGGGTGTTAAGCTGCCGGGGCGTAAAGCTAATCATTCACCTCCACGTAGTGTCGATCCTAAGAATATGTGGATTTATATCTCCAGTCATTCATATATGTCAATTGGGTGGTGCTAAATTAAACACAGGAACCTCACAGAAACCACAATGAGCCTCCATTACTAGGCTGTTTAAGGAAAGAGTCCCTGTTTATTGTGAGAAACATATGGAACACACAAATACACTGTGGGGAGAATGCAGAGTTCTGTAGTATATATAAATTCAGTCCGTACCTCACAGGAAACGCATTACGTCTCCACTATAAAGCCCAACCGGTTAATGCTGTTTAGGGAAACAGTCGCTGTTTATTGCGAGAACCATAGAGAACACACAAATACTCGGCCGAACCCGCCTCCTATACAAAGAGTGACGGGGGGCTTCTTCCCCGGGGGTAAAGCGGCAGGGACGTGAAACTGACCATTCAACTCCAATTATTGCCGAGGTCAAGAAAATGTGGACCTATACACCCACTCTCCTATACGCCTTCACAGAGTAGTTAACTGTAAGTCCATATCGTAATGAACTCGACATACGAGTATGTTTCTCCAACTTATAATCGATTTTCGGAATTGCATTAAGTCGCAAGCCTAGGGTACGACTATATAGATTGATTCTAAATTATTGTAGGGGTTTCCGTGTCCTATAATTTTCAGACCTTACGTGCCACGAAAGGCGCGCATGTTGAAGTTGTTTGGAAGTTTTAAGTCTAGGGTAGGACTATACAGAATGATTCTAAATTATTGCAGGGGTTTCCGTAGCCTATAATTCTCAAATCTTACCCGCCACGAAGGACGCGCATGTTGAAGTAGTTTAGAATTCTACAGTATTGATTCTAAAGGTAATGAAATTTTCTGACTAACACTTTCATATTCCGTAAGCAGTTTTATTTTGTCATTTCATATGTAAAAGTTATAGGCCACGAAACCCCGAAAATATTTAGAATCACCCTGTATATACAAATGAATGATAACATTAATAGTGTTATAATCTGTTTCAGGGAGAAGTTCTCGGGTATAAAACCGCCAGTTTTACGATCGGAAATAGATTTTGACCCCGGATCAAAGTACCACATCGCGGCGAACATACCCTACATACGGTGAGTACGTGTAAACAGTCTCAGTATGAATTTGGCACATTCACTGCCAGGCCAGTAGATGTCAGTGAAAGCAGTCTCGGCCCAGGAGTCGTGGCTAGACAGACACACATACGAGTGTTCGATTCGGAAAAATGTCAATCTCATTTTCAAAAACGACATTGTGTTATTAATCCAATCTTGTTCTGCAAATTTGTGAGGTTACCTGATGACGTACCTCGGTGATAACACGAAACATGTCTACGATCAACTATGGCACCTTGAGTCGTTATTGACTACAACAGAGAGAACGGCCGTCTTAGGCAGTAAATGTGTCCAGTGTGTTGCATGGTGCACTGTGGTAATACCAGTTTATTTCACAATGTAATCTTGCTTCTGACTGACTACAACAGCTTTGTGATGCAACATTATAATTGGTCATAATCAGCGCCATTTGTCACGTGGGAGCACTGAATTTACAGGAAGTTTTCCAGTCACATACAGAGATTTGATGTATGTTTTCAGCGGGCCAATTTTTCAATTCTAATAGCCAACTCTTATACACGTATACATATCAAAGCCAATTAGGCGCAGGTTCTCTTAGTGTCCCGACAGACGGCACTGATCGTCAAACGGCTTCGACGCATCATTCGATAACAAACGTTTATACTGATTGCTGAGGGAATAATCAAAAGGGGAAGTACAATAGACCACTGTAGGTCGCGGTGCAAGGGCCGAGAAGGCCTACCCCTCATACATTCATTCATTCATATTTTGTATAATTACTTAAATCTGAGTGTGTCTTTGCTTGCTCTCACATTAGACGTGGATATCGAGGGAGGGGCTTCAAATAACGCGGTACACATAGCAGCTGATATTTTTCAATGCTATTCTTCTGTAACAGCAAGTTTCATCCGATATTTAAAATAAAGGAGAAGGAGGAAGGAAGAGGACAAAAAATGTCATTAGAAAGTACTAATAAAATGAATTATGAAGGAACCAGTTGGAGAGGAGGGGACAAGATAAAGGCAGTAAAGTTCATAATATGAAAATACTTTCAGTTGAATTTTCAACTACCTAATAAATTAAGCTGACGCAGTGTCAGGCGCACAGTATGGTAAACCTTCGCAAATCCGAATCGAAATTTGAAAAAATGCAGTTCACAGTTGAGTACATACTTTAAAAGACACGTGGCATTTAGGAAAGCAGATGGATGACTTGTCTGTTCGGACAGAACTTGAGATAATTGCTTAAAACCTGCATTACTACGTTCAAAAACAAGTACATCTTCTGAGTCTTCTATAGATGGATAAATGTATTGTCTTTTATGGTTTTCAAATAAAGGCTCTAAAGTGATATTTTTTATTATTTTCATCAGCATTAACTATATCATTAAATTTTCCAATTATTTTTGTTCTAAGTATCTTTTCTTTTAGGACCACCTTCTGCGAGGGTTTACTATGTTTCACATTTCTTATTTTCAATATGTTTTGTTTTTCTAAACAAGAACTATGGATGTCGTCCTAATTCCAGTTACTATACCGAGACCACAGCAAGAAGTCACATGACTCGACCCCTCCATATCCCCTCCAATTGTTACGCTACCCCCTCCAGTGCACTTCCCCACATGAATGTCGGAAGAGTCAGTTTCGGCTGAATGACAGGGGCCAGAGATGGGTGGAGGGGAATAGAGAAGTCGGGGAGACAAGAGACTTGGGCTCCCTCATCCCCACCATCCGCTGGACTTGTTTCCGCGGCCTCAGTATAGTCTGCAACGTTAGCATGATTCATCATCATAGATTTTTAACAGGGAAGGGAGGCGCCATTATTTGTCCCTTACGTCAGTTGGCTGTGATGTAGTGACTTGCTAAACGGAGAACAGATGTGGACACAGCGGAAGCCAGAACAAGTAGCCAGAGAACTACACGATGACGCAACACAACCAGAAAATTAAACGACAAATGAAAGCCATGAAAAGTCATTCATCAATGTCCGATAGATTGAATTCTTGGCTCCGTGGCATGCGTTGTGTCAGTAAAACGTAAAAAAGGTAAAGCTAGCCCCGTAACAGGCCGTCGAGGCTTCCATATTTTCTAGACAGTCGGCTCACAGATGGCGGCGATGTTATGTATAGCTATCCCTGCAACAGGCCGTGGAGGTCCATAGGGTTGTGAGTCGTCGAGGCTCCAACATTTTCTAGACAGTCAGCTCACAGATTACGGTGAGGTTAAGTAAAGCTATCCGTGTAACAGGCTGTGGAGACCCACAGGGATGTGAGACGTCGAGGCTGCCATATTTTTTAGACAGTCGGCTCACAGATGGCGGCGATGTTAAGTATAGCTATCCCTGTAACAGGTTATGGAGGCCAATAGGGATGTGAGACGTAGAGGCTCCCACATTTTTTAGACAATCGGCTCACTTTTGGTGGTGAGGTTAAGTAAAGCTATCCCTGTAACAGGCTGTGGAGGCCCACAGGGTTGTGAAACGTCGAGGCTCCCACATTTTTTAGAAAATCGGCTCACAGTTGGTGGTGAGATTGCCAGCCTTTCGCATCGGCTGGCCAGTCATCGTATTTTGTAACATTACCTAAATCTTTTGGCCGATTCTCCTGTAACGTATCCTACAAAAATTCAGAATTGGAACAGACCGGACAGCCTAATCTGTGATCGTTTTATGCATTATTTTACTACGTCATTATCTCAGATCATATAGTACGATTGGCGAAGAAAACATTGGAAATGATTTGGAAGGAAACGGTCTTGGCCTAATTGAGGCACTGTGCCAGCATTTGCTTCGCTGGACCGAGGAAAACCACGAAGAACCTTATTTAGGGTAGTCTGTGTCCTGGCCGAGATTCGAACCGAGCGCCTTCTAAATACGAGTCTACACAATCTAACTTTCAATGGCTCTACAACCGTTTGCTGGGCCTTGGCCGCTTTTTCAGTTTCTTGATCTCCTACATACACAGTCGGTAGGACCCCTTGGACGGGGGATGAGCCCGTCGCAAGGCTGCTGCCTGCACACAGGACAGCATAATCACAGAATAAACGCACACATATATCCATGCCTGAAGTGGGATTTGAACCCACGATACCAGTGTCTGAGCCGGCGAAGACAGTTCATGATTTCAACCGCGCGGCCGGCCACTGTGACATTCCGCGTCTACACAAACCTTGGTTAAATCGTCCAACAAAGTCACCAGTGTGATTCGAAAAACAATGTAGTAAATAAGTAAGTAACTGACTGACCAACTGCATCACTTCCTTCAAGAGGCTTAACTTATTTTGGGGGGGTGAGGTGAGACTGAGTCCACTTGGTACTGTGGACACTACTGGCCTATCGTACCAGCCACAGATGATAGGTGAGGGTGATTGTGGAGCAGTTGGTGAAATAAGATTGGGAGGGGAAACTGCAGTACTCGGAGAGAACCTGCCCCACCGCCGCTTTGTCAACCACAAATTCCACATGACCTGACAAAGTTTCGAACCTGAGCGGCCGCGGTGTGAAGCCGACCTGAGCTATGGAACGGCCTGAAGAGGCTTCACTTCCTTGCCATATGAATGCATCACATCAGCGGCGATGTTCGCGTGTTACATGTCAGTCACTCTCAGAACACACATTACCACGAAGCTGTTTCCAGGTTACGTGCGTCGTAAACATTATAAGTTGTTTCACTGTCATCTGTTTGTTAATTATCCAGCAATATGTAGAGAAATTGGTTTATAACCCACGTTAAAATAACAATTAAAATTTATGTTGGTGCTTAATATTAAAATATTTCATGTTATAAAATTATAGAGCGGCCCATTTTGGTTAAAATCGTACGTTCCGATGGTAGAGCCGAATTTTTGGCAGCTTTCGTGCCCCTTTCTACGTTCCTTTAGTATTGTGGCTTGTAGCCCGTTGCCGGGCAACGACCGCGAAATACGAGACTATACAACAGCCGTTGCTAAGTAATGCCGCTGCAAACAATGGTCGTTGTTAGGAAATGGCTCACTAACGATCACATAGGCATCCAGACAGATACAAATGCAACAACTGTAGTGCAACAGAAGAACGATGTTTCCTAAGCGGTCCATGCCGAAATAAGTAGGGCCAGTTAATTGTAAATGATAGACCCGTCCTCTCGTCAGAGAGGGCGCCCCATACCAACTAACCCGTAACTGTCTGACAGTAATAAAAAACTGGCGTTGGGCCTTAGATGGCCACTGGACACTAAGTTAGACTGGCCCAGAGACCGTCGGTCGTTACATAACTTTGACTTTATTGCTGTTAGTGAGTTGGTTGGTGAGTTAGTCAGAGAACTGCTGTGGTTCAGTCCTTGTGAGCTGCTGCTGTGAGAAATTGTTACCCGAGGCACGGGGACTGTTCGAGAACCCAGAGGAAAGGGAACGTCCACCGTTGGAAGCCGCTACCAAGCAACAACTAGTGACTCTGTGTATAATAGTGAAATGTAAAGTATAGTTACGAGTTGTTTAAGAGTTCAACAAATCCGATTACCAATCCAAACCCCGTCTATAGTCACACACAATCACGTGGCAGTATTGTACATCTGAAGCCTTGAGCAGAACTGCAAAATAAAGATATAAACTTCCGAAGCATAGTTTTTTTATTTAATGACGTCACTGAGAATATCTATCTTGGAATTATGGGATTATCGATTAATAATGGATTGGAAAGGATGCGGATGGAAGAGATCCTCAACCATGAAAAACTTCAGTGGGGAAAGTCGTAGTCCGGGTCGAGATTCGAACCGGATACCTCCAGAATAGAAGCCAAAAGATTTACCGGTCGAGGCAGTTTCCTCAGTCTCCTGTCATGTTACATAATCATCATCATCATCATTTAGGGAGACGGGGTCACTTGTTGACCAACAGGTCCATTAGTCCCGCATATTAACAGCCCACTCAAATATTTCCACTATGTTCGTTTACTGGAGATTGTTTTATCATTAACATCGCAAAATTTATAATTCACAATTATTATAATTTACAGTTACAAAAACAACTGTCTGCTATTATCTGTCTAAAACATTTTGAGGGTACGTCCCACCTTGAGCAGACAACATTACGAAGGAAAAGTTCACTCCATTCAACGTAGATCTTCCGTATAGAGATTCTGTTTCCCATAGCGCGTTCGAATATAGGGTAATTCTAAACTATTGTCGGGATTTCTCCGTTTATTCTCCACGGAAAACTTGCCAATATTTAAAATCATCCTGTATAATATACAATTTTTTTAACGACGACGTAAGAAACCATGTCACGTCTGATGCACCTTCAATGACGTTTTAGACACGGCGTGGCATGTGTTAAAGAAGATGCTCTGTCTCAAGGCGAGGTGCAGTTTTCCAAGTTTCGCTTTGCATATTAAAACAAAAGAAAACGACTTGAGAGGAAATGAAAATCACTGTACCACAATTCTGTCACGAGCAGAGCAAATACAACAAGTTTCGTGACGTGACTTGTGTCGCTGTATGGTACTTTGAACCCGCCGAGAAATTAGGTTCTGTGTTCTGCAGTTAATGGTAACTCTTTTACACATGAGAACTTACAGACGGGGTCCATCCCTGGACCACTGAAAATCGATGAAAATTGTAAAAAAATATGGAGAACATATCACACATTAATACCAAGAATAATTATAATTATTTTTATATGCGGTACCATCTATGCTTCAGTACAGATGCCCCACAACTCGAGGGTGATGGGTACAAAAATAATTTTTGAGCGGCTGAAATATGTTTGTGTGAAAATGTTATGGCTTGCCCTCTCTTCCAAAGGTCCCTGATGTTGTCAAGACACCACAGATGGCTCCACCGTTTAGATTTTAGAGCGCCGGAAGTCACGAAAATGGGTAGGTTTCCCCTATTCTACTATTCGTGTTGACATCCATACCAGGTTGTGTTTTCACAACACGAACTATCATCACTATTGGTTAACTTTTTTGGACAGAATTACGAATGTGATAATCCACTTGAAAAGGAAGGGAAAAAGGTCCCGGAAGTAGATATGGATTATGAACTGTTGCTTTATCTTTTCCGTGAGCACAGAGAGACACAAATCTGTGTAGAACATCTCTGAGAGTAGGTCATACCTTGAGCTGCCAACCTAACGATAGAAAATCCCTATATGTTCAATGAAATATTCGGTATAACGATTTTGGTTTCGGTTGTATGTTGAAATTAATGACTCTTTAATGATGATGTAATTATATACGTTATTATCTAATGATCACGAGACATCAAAGATGTTTTAGACACAACATAACTTCACTCTAGAAATCCATCTAGTCTAGGAACCAGGGTAAAGCATCCTTTGTATAGGCAACCTTACAGTGTAAGTTTATTTAAATTTCCCGCCGGCGTATAAAAACTGAAAGTACACAATTACTGAGTTTTAGACATTATCCGTCGTCCTGTATTTTATTATTTAAAAGACACAATGTATCGGAGACTGGATTCTCTCTCCGTCTTCAGGTTTAACTTACTGTTGAACCCAATCGACAGAGCGATCACCTATCTCCGGACACCAACACAAGACAGGATAGATAAACAATACAGCATAATCCATCAGCGGGAGTTAAGACAAACATTAAAAAACTCCATACACATGAGGTCTTACACCTATCTCCAAGTATTATTTCACGGCTATCATTGTTAGAATCAGAGCACTGTCAGAATAGAAGTCATCACTAAAGAGACAAATTCCTAATAACTGTATTAATACACCACCATCACAAAATTTTACATCTAGTAATTTTTTGGTTATGAGGTAACGGTTACGTCACTAACTAGCGATGACGCACCCTTGTACCCATAGCACATGGAGTACATCATGCAGTGACCTGCAGGGACCTTCAGTTGAAATAGGGACGGCTCACATACTCATACTTGGTGCGGACCTTAACAGGGACATAAACTGATTGCGGCCGTGACTTGGTAACTTTAACGACGTACACGGGATATGGTTCGCGGATGTACACGGGGTAGGGCTGAGGTTCAGGCACCTTTACCTCAACTGGGTACGGCCTGTCCACAGGAACCGGTATGGGCACCGAATAGGACTCTATATGCTCCTCGGAGAACGGCTCAGAGTCCTCCACCTCCACAAGAATCGGCTTCTGGTGTTTCTTATCCTTTGATTTTTTAAATTTGTGTCCTTCATGGTAGTCAACTTCATCCTTTATTTCCTCCTCTTCCTGTCTGTGTCCGTGTTTATCCTTCTTGTGTTTTCCGATAGACCTCTTCTCCCAGTGACCCTGCGACAGCTCCTGGATGTCTTCTTCCGTCGTCGGGGCTCCATCAGCGGAGCAGGCGACGATAAGACAGGCGAAACAGACCCAGTACTGCAGACATTGAACAAGCGAAGGCATGAGACACACATCCGATAATGTGTACTCTTTTCCAACAGTAATCTCTGCAACTACTAGTAAGCTCAGATCCGCACATAACGAGAACTGTCTCAGTTAAAGGTTTCCTTAAATCCCTTTACTGGCGAGAATGTCTGGAGCCGGGAAAGCGACTGGCTACGGGCTGGACGACAGAAGGGTCGGAGTTCGAGTCCCTATAGGGCCAAGAATGTTCTCTTCTCTATGTCGTCCAGACCTGTCCTGAGGCCTACCCAGCCTTTTATCCAAAGGGTACGGGGGTAAAGCGGTCGAGGCGTGAAGCTGAAAACTCACTTCCAACTAGTGTCGAGTTGAAGAAAACGTGGATCTATATGTCCACTCCCCATACGTCTTCATGACGTAGTGCTTAATTAGTTATGCAAAGGGACAACTTTATATTTATGTCTATTGCTGACAAGAATGCTTCATCAGATACAGCGCGTCCTGTATTTGAATATACAGGAATACATAGGCAGAAGGGACGATATTCGAGAAGAAATCCTAAAGCTTGTTTTCCCGCTACACAGATGTCTCCACAAATCCGCTACTACTCCTATTGTAGTTTCATGTGCTTCTAATTATTTGGTACTTTTACAATTATGTGCGAGATTTGTGGAATTATTGCAATTCATTACGTTATTTCATTCTTAAAATGCAGATATAAGTATGATCTGCATACCAAATTTCACATTCTCAACTTCGGTGGTTTATTAGATATTACCAAAAAAAAAAAGATAAAGCTACCCCTGTAACAAGCCGAGGAGGCTAATAGGGCAGTGAGACGTCGAGGCTCCCTCATTTTCTAGACAATCGGCTTACAGATGACGGTGAGGTTAAGTAAAGCTATCCCTGTAATAGGCTGTGTAGACCAATAGGGTAGTGAGACGTCGAGGGTCCCACATTTTCTAGACAATCAGCTCACAGATGACAGTGAGTCTGTCAGCCTTATGCACCGACCGTCCTTTACCCCGTAGGAAGATTCCTGGTAATAATTTGTTAAAGGCTGAGTCGAAGCCAGGGCAATAGTGCGGCCGGAAGGTTTAAATCAATTGAAAAATCCAATGACCTCATCGGGAAATCGAACCCGCGACCTTCCGACTTGTAGAGCGGGACAGTTTTAACTTGTCCGTTGAATTCCAACGGACATTGCAGTAAGTGTGTTACAGTAATGAATACTTACCGATATCCCCATAGCGGACAGAGGAACTGATACTTCGTCAGGCTGTCTCGCCTTTATATTCCCCTAGAGCGCGAGTACAATGTTATTGGCAAGCAGATACGGAAGATTGTGTGCCCGTGGTTTTCGTGTTGGAGCACACAACATTCTGATTATCTTTGTTGTTACTGTCACTATCATCACTGAACTCCCGTAATCGGTATCAAGCTGCTGTGTTGTGACGTAAGCAAGGACGGAGAAAGCGCTGATCAAGTTTCGCTGACTCCAGTCTGATCAGATGCAGTTATATAACAAACCGTGGGTCGAGTCACAGCAAAAAAAAGTCACTTCATCTTCCATAATGAAGTATAAAAATGTGGTTTTGAGGTCGTCACAGCGGTTACTTTCTTATATCTTCGTATAGTCTGGTAAAATGTCCACCAATTTTTTTGGGGGGAGAAACAAATTGCTTCCATCTTCGGGGTAGAAAAGTAAGAAATGCAAATGACTAAAAAGAAACATGCGCAAGAAAAATTCTTGGCGGGCAGCCTGCGCTTAAACACGTTCCATTAAAACCAGGCCTGTCTGAGGCTTTCGGAGGTCTCAAAATCGTCGCATATGACTCAGATGTTCAGTAAGTTTGGCCACCCCTCCCATACATTCTCTAAATTGTCTGCCATTGCCGAGAGGCCTCAGCACAGCGTTCTTCTCGGACGTGACACCGTGCAATCTTCTGACTTAGGGAGGCAACGAAGCGGCCTCCGTAGTCTAGGGGTAACGTTCCCACCTCATGACTCAAGGTACGCGGAAAAATTCAGGGAACAAGTCCTCCGGGAGGGACTTTAAGCCGTGGGTCCCATGTCGTAGATTTACGGCACGTAAAAGATCCTCATGTCTCTAGGAGACCTCTGAGCTAAATTACGTAAAAAGTTCCCCGCCCAAGTAGTTTCCAATGCCTCGGGTAGATGGGGAAGCATCGGGTACCGCAGCCAGCCTCGCTGGCTGAACGGGGCTGATAGCGAGCACCAGTACCGGCAGGGTATGGAGACTGGTAGAATATCAAAGGGGGACGTACAATAGACTATTAGTCGCGGTGCATGGGGAAACCCACCCCCTCCAAAAATAATAATAATAATAATAATAATAATAATAGGGAGGCAACGAGTTTTCCGAAACGTCGGTAACAATCTACATGGCATCCATCCCATAAGACACTGAAGGCCAGCTTCAAATCTCACGTCCTGTTTCGCAGTTTGTTTAACGACGCTTTAACCACTGAGACCACTTAGAGGCGTAGGGTGCGTTCACTGATGTATGATAATGAACTGGAAATGCTGTGGAAGCAAGCAGTTGTAGCCCAATCGAGGTACAATCCAAGCAATTTCCGGGAGGGACTGAGGAAAAAACACGAAACATATTGTCACGTATTTGGGGTGTGAATATAGAATGGGTATGGATTGAATTGATCTGGCTCAGGATATGGACCGGTGGAGGGCTCTTATGAACACGATAATAAACCTCTGGATTCCATAAAATTCTGCGAAGTTCTTGAGTAGCTGCACAACTGGCAGCTTCACAAGAAGGATTCAGCGCCATGAAGTTGGCTAGTTAACATTTAGAGCTTCCAGGGATACGAATGTCCGTCTCGGGCAAGAACCAATCACAAACCTCCATGTACATGCCTAGCACAGGGACCCACGAAGAGTGTTGGATCTCAACGGATGTTGAGTATGAGGTAACTTCTGGGACATGACGCTGTCTAGTCGAGTAGAAGTTCACCAGTCTTGCTCTGAAGTATCGGTCAGCTTCCACAGGACTACACGGCGTCACATGCCAGCAGACAGTATTGACCGATTGGGAACATCAAGTCTGGACGGCGCTTGTTACGGTCGCACGAAGCCTATGGGGTCATAATCGCTTATCGCTTTCCTGGGGTAGAGTCCGTGTTCTATCGTTACTCATCGCACGCATGCGCACACACACGAAATTCTGCCAGCGTTTCGTGACGCTCAGCCTACGTCTGTCGACTGATACGAGAACATATAAAAGAGTTGATAAGAGGAACAAACAGATAAGTACCATGGATTTTGCAGCGATTCTAGCAAAGAGAGGTTAACCGTTCGGCACTTCATATGATACCCATTCAAGTCCTCTGTATTGCTGCTGGTCCTAGTCACCAGAGTCGTCGTGGTTTCGGCCCTAATCGGGAGTATATGTATATTTTTGTTCTTACTAAACTTTTACGTGTTTTGAAATGGGGCCCCCCCATACTGGAGAGTGACTCTGATTTCTCTTTCCCTCTGACTTGACTCCTAAATTGCTACTGGTCCTCGCCAGCACAGTCATTCTTTGTTCTGAGTCCCACGGGACTCATGATCATATTTTTCTACCTCACGGCTCTCGGAGCCTTGAGACCGACTCTCACAGGATAGAGAAAGAGAGCGAAAGAAAAAGTGGGGGCGGTAGTAACACACTACATTTGGGAGAAGGGGGGACAGCATGAAACTATAGCTCCAGTTCTGAAGGTTCCCAGGCAGTGCCCTCTCGTCCTTCTGGTAGAGTTAATGCATATGATCAGAATTAATTTGTATGATGTTGGAAGGGCTGCATTGCAGTGAATTTAACACTGGGTGTGAAACTTGGTCCCTGACATCAAGGTAGGAACACAGACCGAGGGTGTTCGAGAACAGGGTGTTGAGGAGAATATTTGGACCGAAGAGAGATGAAGTGACAGGAGGTTGGAGAAAACTGCATAATGAGGAGCTTCATAACTTGTACTCTTCTCCAAGTATGATTAGAATGAACAAGTCAAGAAGGATGAAGTGGGCAGGGAATGTAGCACGAACGGGGGGGGGGGAAGAGGAATGCATATAGGATATTGGTGGGAAAGCCAGAAGGAAAGAGACCACTGTGAAGACCAAGGCATAGGTGGGTGGAAAATATTAAAATGGATCTTAGAGAGATAGGATGGGATGGTATGGATTGGAGTGACGTGTCTCAGGATAGGGACCAGTGAACACGGTAATGAAACTTCGGGTTGCCTAAAAATGCTGGGAAGTTTTTGAGTGGCTGCACAACTGGCGGTTTCTCAAGAAGGGCTCAGCTCCATGAGAAAGTTGGAAGGGTTGCATTATAGTAAAATTTGATATAACACTGGGAGGGCTTCATGTGATGCATGCAGTGCATCGTCGAATTTTCTTACAAACTCGGCATTTGCTCTGTGACCGAGGAAATCCACGGAAAAACTTCACCGAGCTGGCCGGTAGCAGGACCTCCCGGATGCAAACTGACTTCTAGCCAGCAGTCCGGCATTAAATGCGCTTACCCGAACACCAGTCCCTTCCTGGCCGTTGCTTTATTTGACGTCGAAGTCAAAGTTACGTTGCGACCGACGGTCAGTCGGCCAGTCTGTCTCGGTGTCAAGTCACCCCCTCTGGGGCCCAACACCAGGTGTTGTTACTGCCAGACAGGTGCGGGTTTCTTAATGTGTGGCGCCATTTCTGAAGTGAGTGGTAACAAGCATTAATCGAAATGATTTTACCGTTCCAGAGGCTAAATATATAAAGCATTATACCTTCGTAAAAGCCACAGAGCTTTTAGTAAAGCCAGACAAAGCAGGAAGCAATGACTAACATAGACACCGGACATATTACATTTCAGCATTCTGTTGCATTTGGGGCGCTATTTTAAATTGTGAAGTGCTCGCCTGCAATGCAACAGAGTCAACCCCTTCTTAATAGACACTAAAATATATTTAATTCAATAAAAAATGTTTAATAACTGTGTACATTCCTTGTCACTGCTACATGTTTCGGCCGCACATGGGCCATCATCAGGCAACACACTGCACTGTACACTTTGCCCTCTGTGCCCTTAGGCACATCATTGTTTTTGCTGTTAATTTATTTCGTGGGATACTTCCGTACTACATTTTTTGGCGGCTACTCATCTGTTCCTCTTCAGTGTGTAGTTTACTTTAATTGTGTATCTAATGCTGTTTGTTCCCTGTGGCTAGATACACAACTAAAGTGGACACAGTAAAAAGGAATACTGAAAAGATAGGATCGAAACATCCTACGAAGCAAATTAACAAACAGAAACAGCCGAGGGTACTGAGGACAAAGTGTAGAGTGCAGTTGTCTCCCCCAGATAAGTGTTGCCTAATGATGGCCCATGTGCGGCGACTATGAAGAATGCCGTCGTGTAGATTTTGTGTGAACTGACGTTTCGGAGGAACGTATCACTTCCATCTTCAAGGTGAAAATCTCAAATATTATAGTGTTCCTCTAGGGCGAGGTTACTCATCGACATATTCGACTTGCGATACCTTGAAGATGGAGGCGATAATTCCTCCGAAACGTTGGTTCACCCAAGATCCACACAGCGCCACATCCCAGAAGACGGCATTCTTCTTCTGAGAAATATGTTCATGGTGTACAGTAAATATTGTATACTGTGGGCAAAATGTTCAGTTTCTTTAACGTTGAAGTATATGGTACATATATTAACCACTGTGCCTCAAAGGGTTAAACCAATGTTCTGTTTCTAAGACTTCGATTGTGCCCTGGTCTGCATACCGGACACAGTAGCATAGATCAGTCCCTAAATGTTGGCAGCGCTGCGTTGTGAGTAAGTGAAAGAATGAACACAACATATCGTGTTTGCGTGCAATCTTTATTGTACCATCCACAACTGACACAAATTAGGAAAGGGATAATTTAAGAATACAACTGTTTTAAAGTCAAATAAATTACAATACTGATCGGCAGTCAAATTACGTCCTCTAATTAACATATATCTGCAATGTTTCACATAAATAAATAATTCATTTACGAATACAATCATTTAAATTAGCGCAGGTGGCTTCATCAGAAGCCATTGTAACCAAGGCGAAAGATCGGACTCTGTTCCTTCAAGGCGTAGGGTAAGAGTCCAGGGAATTTTCCGGGCAACAGAGAGGTCACTGGTTCAGGGTAAATGCAGTCCTCAACATCAAGGAAAGAATAAGGTTCTGAGATTGCGACAGGCACTTCAGGGACAGGGCTTCCGAAACCAAAACGTCCGAAGGGTAAAGATGGCGCCAGCTTTCCTACTGGATATGTCTGAGACAGTGCGAGCGGGAGTGGTGTCTGAGGAATGCCAATAGGCAGTTCTACGGGGTAGGGCTCAGGAACCCGCACTTCAACTGGGTAGGGACGGTCAACGGGCACCTCGACAGGGACCTCAATAGGGATGTAGACGGGAACCTGCACAGGCACCTCGACGGGGTAGGGCTCAGGGACGGGGACTTTCCTGTCGACGTACACAGGGTAGGGCCTGTCTACTGGCACTTCCACAGTGAAAGGTTCAGGGACAGGGACTCGCACTTCAACTGGGTAGGGACGTTCCACGGGGACTTGCACTTCAAATGGAACTCGCTCGACGACAGGAAAAGGCCGGTCCACTACAACAGGGTAGGGGTGATCGACAGGGACTTCGACCTGAACAGGGTAGGGTTCAGGGACTCGAACTGGGACTCTGACAGGGTACGGTTGGGGCTGAGGCACGGGTACAGGGACTTCAACAGGGTAGGGGTGTTCAACACGGACTGGAACTTCCACAGGGTAGGGGCGATCAACTGGGACCTTGACTTCAACAGGGAAAGGTTCAGGAACAGGGATTTCTTTGAACACGGGATAAGGCCGGTCAACTGGAACAGGGAACTTGACACCAACGGGATAGGGCTCCGCAACTTTAACGGTCTCTTTGATGACCGGGGGAATCTCCTTCCGTGGGTAGAAGCCGCCCAGATGTTTGCCGCCGTGTCCAAGCCCATAGCCATGAGGGGGCAGACCACGTTTTGTGGGGCTGCTATCTGCGGGCGCTGAAACTGCCTCGGCCGTCTCTTCTGGGGCGAAGCCCTCCGGCATCACGTTGGCACACGCGATGGCGACCAAGGAGACGGTGAAGATGCACAACTGTGGTAAGAACACAAGGCGTAAGGGCAAGATGCAGACATGCTCATGAGATAATTGTCTTGTTGTGGTCTTCTCCGTATGGTTCTCACAATAAATAGCGACTGTTTCCCTAAACAGCATTAACCGGTTGGGCTTTGTAGCGGAGACGTAATGTGTTTCCTGTGAGGTACGAACTGAATTTGTATATATTATGCAGATGTTCGGAATAAAAAAAAAATGTTTAAGTGCTAGAAAGGAAAACTGCATAATGAGGAGCTTCAGAACTTGTACTCTTCTCGAAATATATTTAGAATGATCAAGTCAAGGAGTATGAGATGGACAGGGCATGTACCAGGAATGGGAGAGAAAAGGAATTCGTATAGGATATTGTTGGGAAATCCAGAAGGAAAGAGACCACCAGGAAGATCAATATGTATGTGGGTGGATAATATTAGAATGGATCTTAGAGATAGGATGAGTTGGTATGGACTGGACTGATCTGGCTGAGGATAGGGACCAGTGGAATGCTCTTGTGAACCTTCGAGTTTCATAAAATGTTATGAAGTTCTTGAGTAGCTGCACAATTCGCGGTTTCTGAAGAATGCCTCCGCTCCACGAAGTTAATTAGTGCTTGACGAATTTTAGATTTTGATAAGAGCGAAATTATAAATGTGCTGACGTGAAGCAGAATAAATTGAGATGGTCACTTCTCACTTACCAGAGTCCTCATATTGTGGCGAGCTGCACAGTGTACCGATTGGGACTGATAGTGACCGTAAAGGAACCGCTTGGCTTATATAGCAAAATGACGGTCTCCTCTTCAATGACACTTCATCACAATGCAGCAGATAATACACAGATTATTTTGCGATTCCCTGAGGTGAACGTGCCGCTACACAGTAAACACACAGACGCAGCAAGAAAGGCAGGAGACTTAGCTGCAAAACAAACTCGGCGCGTGCCAGCGCGCTTGGTGCAACCTGCGGACACGCATTCCAGAGAGTCACAACAAACACATGGATCTGTAAACTGTATCGTGCGAACAACAGCAAACAGTGCCTGCCATTTGTAATCAGATCGGAGATTCCAGATTTCAGGTCCTCGCGGTGATAACTACGGATATTACTGGGATAACTACGGATATTAATGCCATAACTGCGGATATTACTTGGATAACTACGGATACTGGTATAACTAGGGATATTACTGGGATAACTACGGATATTACTGGGATAACTACGGGTATTAATGCGATAACTGCGGATATTACTTGGATAACTACGGATACTGGTATAACTAGGGATATTAGTGGGATAACTACGGATATTACTGGGATAACTACAGACTTTATTGGGATAACAACAGATATTACTGCGATAACTAAAGATATTACTGGGATAACTACGGATATTACTGGTATAACTACGGATATTAGTGGGCTAACTACGGATATTACTGCGAAAACTACAGACTTTATTGGGATAACAACAGATATTACTGCGATAACTAAAGATATTACTGGGATAACTACGGATATTACTGCGATAACTGCGGAGATTAGTGGGATAACTATAGATATTAAAGAAATAACTACGGATATTACTGGGATAACTAAGGATATTACTGTCATGTCATGCCGTGTATTTGTTTTGCGAAGCAGGCAGTACCCAATCTACATAACGTCAAATGTTAGCAAGACACGTAACCAAGCGGTACTGTCCTTTACATTTTCCCGAAGGGGATGAGGATAACAATCAGTGTCTCGACCGAGTTTCAAACAGGGCACCTAAGAAGAGTCTAAAACGTCTTAGTTAACTCAAGTTGGTCTGTGATGCCGTGTAGTCTGGTCGTACGTTACCTACGATTCGGAGGAACATACCATCTCCAGTTCTCTACCCTGAACAAGGATGCAGCAATTAACGATTTAACGGAATGAGCCGCATCGCATCGCAGAATACAGAAAGCGTCAAGCCGCATGTTCAGAATAGGATAACAAAATCAGCGATATGATAGGTAGGACATGAAGTACGCATGAGCAGTATAATTATTACGCCACACAAATTTATTCGAGAAACGTCAAAGGACAGGCTCTTGTGAACACGGTAATGAAAGCTCGGGTAACATAATTCCTAACTAGTTGAGAGACTATTAACTCCTCAAGAGGAAATATATTCTGTGCAGTGAGTTATGCCTTAAAAGAACCAGTCACTTTGAACATCTAGGCTCAGATGGAAGATAATATTAAAATGGACCTTAAAGAACAAAGACAAAGATATAAATTATAGCATAAAGGTAAGTGAAAGTGAAAAATCATGGGAGAAAATGAAACACTCTTTATTGTGGGGTGGAAGAAAGGGCATAATTTTGTTAGAAGGTTCCCAGGCTTCGCCCGTTCGTCCTGCTGACAAAAGCAGTGTGAAAGTGAAGGCGTTAGGACGGTTAGAAGTAGTGGCTTGAGACAGGGGACGCGGAATTTTTCTTTTTCTCAATTAGTGTCGAATTGAGTAATTTTGAAAATACGTGTATATTTCGGGGCCCTTTAAAAGAGAGGTTTCATTTCGAAAAATGTAAATTTGGAGGACTCCATGAGAAGCAGACAGTAGCAACTGGGAAATCTGGAACAATCTCAGTCATTTGCTTAAAATCAGAGGAAAACCACGAGCACCTGTGTCGAGTTGGCTGGTCGCAGGACCTTCTGGATAGTACATACTGACATCTAGTGAGCAGTCCGACAAACAAAAATATATGGAAAGAACGTAAAGCTTCCTCTAAAATATGAACTGTTGTTGATCGTAAAAAAATCACCCTCATCCCTTAGGATAGAGGCAAGTGGCGGTCTCTTGTGACAAAAACAACAAACCTTGGGTTCCATAAGTGGGGGGAAATTTCGCGACAAGCTGACCTACTACTAGCTCCTCAAGAAGGACTTTGCTCCATGAAAGGAAGATTCCACTTCGAAGACGAAAGCAACCGAAAGTTGCTGTCCATGAGTTGCCTCTCCGACTTCGTATTCGGGAGGGATCGGATTCAAATCTTGGCCCGGAGACCTTCTATTCATGATTTTACTCTGTCTCTTCCGGAAACGCTGCAAAAGTACCTCAATATAAACTATGATCTCTCCCCTCCATGTTATTTTCAATTCATTACGGTTCTTGACATTTAAGCTATTGAGAGCGTCGTTAAATAAGCTATAAACAAACAAAACCTAGGCTTAGACGCGATGATAACATTAAAATTGACCTTAAGGATATAAAGTGGGAAGGTATGGAGTGGATTCATCTGGCTGTAAAAAGAGGCCACTGGTGGACCCTTGTGAATGTGGTAATGACTCTCAGGGTTTCACGAATTGACTGAGTCACCTGGCAAGTGACATTCTGTCCGGTGAAGGTAAAGCTATCCCTGTAACTGGTCGCGGAGACGCCTAGGGTTGTGAGACGTCGAGGCTCCCACATTTTCTAGAAAATCGGCTCACAGTTGGCGGTGAGGTTAAGTAAAGCTATCCCTGTAACAGACCGAGAAGTCCCATAGGGTTGTGAGACGTCGAGGCTTTCACATTTTCTAGACAATCGGCTCACAGATGACGGTGAGGTTAAGTAAAGCTGTTCCTGTAACAGGAAGTGGAGGCTCATAGAGTTGCGAGACGTCGAGGCTCCCACATTTTCTAGACAATCGGCTCACAGATGGCGGTGAGGTTAAGTAAAGCTATCCCTGTAACGGACAGTGGAGGACCATGGGGTTGTGAGACGTCGAGGCTCCCGCATTTTCTAGACAGTCGGCTCACAGATGGCGGTGAGGTTAAGTAAAGCTATCCCTGTAACGGACAGTGGAGGACCATGGGGTTGTGAGACGTCGAGGCTCCCACATTTTCTAGACTATGGGCTCACAGATGGCGGTGGGGTTAAGTAAAGCTATCCCTGCAACAGGCCGTGGATGTCCGTAGGGTTGCGAGACGTCGAGGTGTCCACATTTTTTAGACAACTAACTCACAGATGGCGGTGAGGTTAAGTAAAGCTATCCCTATAACAGGCCGTGGAGGCCCATAGGGTTGTGAGACGTCGAGGTTCCATCATCTTTTAGACGATCGGCTCACAGATGGTGGTGAGGTTGTCAGCCTTACGCGCCGACCGCCCTTTACCCCCAGGAAGATTCCTGGTACTCATTTGTTAGAGGCTGAGTCGAACCCGGGGCCGCAGTGCGGCTGGAAGCCCGCCGGACAGAAATCCAGGTGAATCAATAACAGTTAAACGCACTGTAAGATTAGGATGTTTCCATTAAGGACGGGGAACGTATTGAATAGCTGAGCAACCAGCAGCTTCTCAAGATTTATCACGCTCCCTCTATCGACAGACGTAAGAACGCTCTTATAAAAGAAGGCCTACCGGTATCGATGACTCAGCAGAACAAAGAGGAATATGTAATCCCAATCTGTCTGTCTGCCTGTTGAAATGATACCATATACGGCTTAATGTAAAATTGTATTATTATTATTATTATTTATTTATTTATTTCTCACGCGCGCAGGGTATATGAAATCGTGAAGGCATCTATGTCGAAATTCTGACGGATGTACACGCTCGCACATTTGAGAAGACGCGCTGTGGTGTGATACAGAATCTCCACTAAACTGGTGACAAAGTAATAAATTAATCATATATAAAATTTTAGATTACTATGCCGCTATCCATAGGCGAAAATTAGTATTGACCAGGTATTCGATTCGAATCTCGGCCAACACAAAATATCCCTAAATGTGTGGTTTTCCTCAGTCTTTCCATGTAAATTCTTGTAAAAGGTAAAGTTGTCCCTGTGCTTAACTAAGTAAGCCCTATGCCATGAAGGCGTGTGGGGGAGTGGATGTATAGAGCCACATTTTCTTCGCCTCGGCACTAGTTGGCGATGAGTGGTCAGCTTTACGCCCCTGCCGCTTTACCCCCGGGGAAAGTGCTCCTGCTGGGTGGACCCTAGAGCCGAACTGGACGATGTTGGTCGTCCAGCCCGTAGATAGTC